GATGCATTGTGTAATCATAATGAGAAATAGGCTATGAAAGCCCTATATATTTTCTTTTGTCTCTTATCTTGGTAAAAATTAGTTTTGTTGAAATGATTATTATTTTGTCGACAAATGATGAAAGAAGTATAGGATCTTCTTATACCTAAGCCTGATGTCGAAAATTGAGGGTTGTTATTATATGCATTTTGTATTGATCATGAGAAAAAAATAGGTAATGAAAGTCCTATATATTTGTCTTTGTCTCTCATCTCGGTAAAAATTAGTTGTATTTACATGGTGATTATTTTAGTCGACAAATGATGAAAGAGGTTTACGATCTTTTTATGCCTGGCTCTGATGTCGAAAAATTGAGACGATTGTTATTAGATACATTTTGTATTCCTCGTGAGAAAATATAAGGAATGAAAGCGCTATATATATTCCTATGTCCATCATCTCGATAAAAATTGGTTGTATTTACATGATGATTGTTTTAGTCAACAAATGATGAAAGAGGAATGTGATGTTCTTATGACTGATCCTGATGTCAAAAAATCGAGACAGTTGTTGTTAGATAGATTTTGTATTCATCGTGAGAAAATATAGGGCATGAAAGCCTTATGTAGTTGACTATGACCCTCATCTCAGTAAAAATTGGTTGTATTTATATGATGATTATTTTAGTCGATAAATGATGAAAGATGTATATTATCTTTTTATGCCTGACCTCTATGTCGAAAAATTGAGACGATTATTACTAGATACATTTTGTATTCATCGGGAGAAAATATAGGGCATGAAAGCCCTATATATTTGCCTTAATCCTTGATCTTAGTAAAAATTGGTTGTATTTACATGATTATTTTAGTCCACAAATGATGTAAGAGGTATGTGATCTTGTTAAAACCCTATATTTGTGTTTTTGTCCTTGAATTCGATAAAAATCGGTTGCATTCACATGATGGTTATTTTAATCGACAACCATTGAAATGGCTAACTTGTTTGCTCTTTTTGCAAGTCAAACTGATTACACAGAATTCTAACTGGATTAGAGACTACTCTAGAGACGGAATTTTCCATCACTAAGCAAATCCATCTCTAAAATCCTTTGCAAAAATCTATCACCAAATTGCTTGGATTTTCATTTCATTTGTGTTTCATTTGAGTTTCATTTGGTTGATGGACCTTTTATATTTTTTGCTTTAAAATTGTATAAACTTACTAGGGGTGACTTGGGAAACATAGTTTGTGTTCTCCCACCACTCCTAAGTTTTCCAATTGAAACCTAGTATCCGTTAGTACATGTGGAAGTGTCCCAAAGGGCTCTAAATGTCATCTGGGCTTCCTTTAGGACTCGCCTAGTTTACTTGCTTTCTTAGAACGTTTAGTACTTGTGGAAGTGTTCTAAGGGGCTTTAAGTGTCACTTAGACTTCCACCCTAGGGCATTCGACTAGTATATGCTTTAACTTGCTTTCTTTATTTGCTTTTTTCGTTAGTTTACATTCTAATTGTAATTAGGAACGTTCCAAGTTCATTTAGAAGGCTTTTTTGCCTACTAGAGGTTCGTGCACACACACACATTTACTTGACTTGTGTGCAAAATTGTTTTATCAAACAAGTATAAAAGGGATTTAGTAATTTCTACTTGAAAAGTCTTGGTTATTAAGTGATTCATTGTAGCTCACCTCCATTGATAGTACAACTTGTATACTTATACCTCCAAGTACTTAGTCTTGCACCAAAAAGAAAATCTTTTGTGAAAATCTTTCACTTGATTTTTGCAATTCATTTGAAAACTTGGAAAACTTTCCTGCAAAAATGAGTGATCATTCTCATGATAGTAGTGTGCATGGTCATCATTCCCCAAGAAGTCATAAGAGTACTAAAGAGAAACTCTATGAACTTAAGGATTATATTAGAAAAAAAAGAATTAGAAAATAAAAAGAATAATGGAATAATAAGAGAGTTGTTAAACAAGCTAGTGGTGGGTGGTGAGGCTAGCAAGCCCAAAGTCCATGAGGATAATGGGCCTTCAATGCCCAAAAGGCAAGATGGTGAGGGACCTTCCAAGCCTTCTAGAGGCAAACATGTGGAAGGAGGTTCACAGCCTAAGAGCCATCATTTACACACTCACTCAACCTCAAGTGAAGAGTTTTATAGTAGTCACCATGATGATGACTACTATCAAACACCTTTTATGCAACATAGGCCTAGGCAAGACTCTCACAAGGAACGTAGAGTTGACCCTCCTCCCTTTCACAGAAAGGATAATGTTGAGGATTACTTGGATTGGGAGATGAAGGTGGAACAACTCTTAACATGTCACCATGTGAGTGAAGAGAGAAGAGTTCCAATGGCTACCCTTAGCTTTCAAGGGTATGCCATGTATTGGTTGACTTCCCTTGAAAGGGGAAGAAGAATTCATCATGAGCCTTCAATCCAATATTGGAATGAGCTTAGAAAAGCCTTGTGTAGAAGACACATTCCTTTTTTATTATGAGAGAGAGTTAATGGACAAGCTCCAAAGATTCCAACAAAGAAATCAAAGTGTGGAAGAATATAGGCAGCAAATGGAGTTGCTCATGATGAGAGCTGGAATTAGGGAAGAGGAAAGCACCACCATTGCAATGTTCCAAAGTGGTCTTAAGTTAGAAATTAGCGATAAGGTTGAACTATTACCTTATAGAGAGCTTAATGAACTAGTTCAACTATGTGTCAGGGTAGAACAACAACTTAGAAGGAGTTCATTGTAACATTCAAATTTTCTACTAGTATAATGATTATTTATTATTTATTTTATATTTATGGAGATTATTTTCTTATAGCTATTTTAATGGGTTTTATAGAATGTTTTAAAGGTTTTTAATAATTATGACTTTTTTTAACAATAAATATTTATGAAAATTATTTTGTAATATTTTTATTTTTAGTAAACCAGAATGGGCCGTTGTCAAATTGGAACGGACCGTTCTAGACTACTAAAATGGCCTAGAAAGATTAGGTTGGAACGGGACGTTCCAACACATGATTCACTGAGTAAACTTCAAAACCAGAACGGGCCGTTCCGATTTGAGAATAGGCCATTCCAAATGTGGCCGTTGTGAGTAGAAACTCATATGCAGAACGGGCCGTTCTGATTCTGGAATGGGTCGTTTCAAATGTGAATTTTGGACATGAAGTATGAGTCCAGAACGGGTCGTTCCGGATTTGAAACAGGCCGTTCTGGCGACTACTGATGCCTATAAATAGAACGATGTGTCACTCTAAAAGCACATTTTTCACTTTTTACCTCTTTTTCTTCTACACTCTCTGAAGACCAAGGGAGAACCCAGAGGAGGGGACTAGCAAGATCTAGCTTTAATTTCAGCTCCTGCTTATCCAAGCAAGGGGGGAGTGAGAAACCTCGCTTTGGGTGTGGGAATATCTATTGGGTAGTGGGATTGGCCCCCAATCATGTGTTTGTTGTATTTTTTTGGATGCTCATGTATGAGGGGTTTTCCCCAATTGTATCTTTTTCGCCTATTATTTTTTTTTATATGTAATTAATTGTATGATTTGAGATCTCTATGGGTTCCTATAGGAAACCCTAAGGGAATGCATTGGTGATTGTAAGAGAAGATGGTTTGAAGAGGTAATTGTATGAGTTAATTGTATTGTTTTAAATGTTTATTGTATGAATTAGAGTGTTCTGTGGGTTCCTGTGAGAACCCTATGAGAAACAAGCAAAATATGAATATTTTTTATTTTGCTTTTTGATTGTTCTGATGTATTCCTTGTTGAATGAGATGAATTAATATGTGTTTAATTTCGCAAATAGATGAGTTTTAATATGGATTAAAGTGCTCTATGAGAATTGTGCATATAATGTGATAATGTGATAATGTGATAATGATGATGAGATATGATGATGAAATATGATGATGAAATATGATGATGAAATGTGATGATGAGATGTGATGATAATAATGTGATATGAGAATGCATAGAGTCTTGATTGACATGCATCATGTGCATAAATATTTTTAAGGGTACGATATGGAATACACAGCCAGAGAAGGCCCCTTAGTGTAAAAGCTTTGGGGATTATTCCTTGGGGATAGCTCGGTTTGGAAGTCCCAGTCTCGCCCATTGTGTGCATGGCATGTATCTTGCGCGGCTTAGCTATCTCGACAAAACTCTGGTAGTATGTCCTTCTAGTGAGAGTGCGCAGAGGGTGTGACCCGGCATGTACTCCTAGACTACTCTTCGTGTATTGCTAGCTGCAATATGCCATGTGATATGTTACTGGCGCCACATGCATGATAAAATGTAGTACGTGTCCTTACATGTGCATTTTAATGTTATATGAAAAATTGATATATCTTGGATGAGTGAGATGTGATATTGTTATTAATCTATCTATGCTATACATGTTTTGTTTTTGTTTGGCTATCTGGTGTATATTCCTACACTATGAACCGAGTGAGATGTTTCTCACTCCCTTTTCTTTGTGTTGCTTTCCTTTGACCGTTATATAGGTAATTATCAGCATGAGGTTGAGGATGTTGGTGATGAAGCTTAGGCTTCTACATGGGCTTTACTCTGATAGGACATGTGACATCGGGGCGTAGATAGGATTAGATTAGGGTGTTATTTCTATTAAATTATTTTGGAAACTTTAGTTTTATTTCTTTGTAATTTTCGTTGATTGTGTCACTTGTTTAAGTTATGGATGTGGTGCTCTCTATTTGAACATATTTGGTATTTTTAATAATGAAGGATTATGTTATTCTAATTTTATTATTTATGTGCTATGGTAAGCTAGGTAGAGGGTGTCACATTCATCCTGTTTAGCTTTGTGTAAGCCCACACCTCATTCCTGTTTTGCTTCTTCAACACCGATTCAGGAACCAAAGCTTTCACTGCTTCTTCGCCCATCCTTCATACAACAACAATCACATTAAATCACAAATTCAAGAGATTTCAATAATTTGCTTAAGATTTCATCAGAAGAATGCAGAGAGAGAGAAAGACTCACTTGATGTTGTGCTGCTTACAACGGCAGAGGGTCAGTGAGGCTGTGAATCTCCGTCTTTTATATATATAGGATTTTCTTTATCAACTCGTTGGTATGTTTAGCTTTGTGGCCTTTTGTTTCTTCCGTGATTTATTGGACCTTTTATCTTTCTAAACTATTGGGCCTTCTGCCAATTATTATTTCCACTACTTTTTTTGCTTTAAATATATCACTCATTTTTTTATAAAAAAAACATATATATATAT